ACAACTCAGGTGGACAAAGAGGCCCAAGCACCCTGGGAATGGACATCACTACGTACATGGGCCACCACATGGTTCAGTAGGAAAGGACTGAGGAAGCTCAAGTGTGAGGATACAGTGCATGCTGACTTCTGGTCTCTTTCGGCCATCTCTACTAGAATGCCAGCCCCACAGGGCGCAAAGGCAAATGCCTTTAACAATTTATCAGTCACACCTGGCTTCTTCCTGTCCTTACAATTGCAGGAGATGGTACGAAGTTTTCAGGCCATTTTAATGCTCGTTGGAATCTCCAAAAAGGCTGACATTTTGAAAGTTTCTCACTGATTCCATAACCTCATTCAGTAAGTGACTAGAACGTGGAGACAGGACTCTTGTTTCTAAACCAAGCCCCACCTCGCGCCCTAACTCTCTCCCTATGGTTTCCAACCCACCCCAGTGTGTGTGTATGTTTTTCATTGGCAATCCATTAGAATCTTTTTAGCTAATTGCAGAGCATACTAGTTTGAACATTTTCATTTCAGAAAGCCATGTCAACCATCAGTTAAACAATCCATAAAGATTCCTCTGCCCTCTGTTCTTACTTCCTTTCTTCCCTGTTTTATTTCCCACTACCCCATTCCAGGTCTCCAAGGTCTTCCAGATTTCCCTTCATACAGTCACCCAAATATTACTCATGAAACATAATTGTAAAATTTTGCAATTTTACAATTGCAAATAATAAGTCTCCAGACCACCAAATCTTCATTTTAAGGGTCTAATAAATTAAAGTGCAGGGCAAATAAAAAATCAGGAATGCAGGGCAAATAAAAAGTAATGCTTTGTCTCACCTAAATGTAATTTGGAAAACACTGCACAAGTCACACGCAAAGTCAGACTTTTGTGTGTCATTAAGATGTTATCACTGATGACCAAGCATGGTGAGTTGAGTGTGGTTTGTAGCATCTGAGACGAGCAGGAAGGAACATGAAATTGAAAAAGACTTGAATAACTGCTGTTCCCTGACTGACAGACTCTGCATGGTAAAAATATCAAAGTCAAAGACTTGAAAAGCATAGTGTTCCACATGAAAGACTTTAAGTAACGAAAGAATGTTCATTACTACAATCAAGAGGGTCAGAGACATATACCATAGTGGATTCTCACTGCTTGTTACCGACTGATCAGAAACACGAGAGTGATTATTTCTAACTAATTATTATAATGATGCACATCTCAACCAAATGCTTAATACCTGAGAGAAGTGACATCTCATTCAACACGTGCCTGGATTATCTGACAAGAGAAATTCTGTTTCCCTGTGCTCAGATAACTAATGGAGGACGCATATACAAAAATAAGAGAATAAGCCAAGAAGTAGGAAGATATGGACTCCTGAAAGAGGAAGCCAATGCAGGAAAAAGGAAATAAAATTTGTAGAATTGTAGCAAAGAGAAATCTGAGGTCAACAGTTCTGTACAGCAATTGTGTTTCATAGCAGCCCAGACAGTTCTCTCTGGGGGTTGGTGCAAGAGAGTCAGAGACCATGGGTGAAGGGTTCTGTTGTGTTGTGAAGGGATTTGGCTGTTGTCAGACATGGATTTAAAGTTGCTAAATATGAAAGAACTCTGCAGGTCATCTGTTAAATGCAATCATTTAATAATTAAATTATACAAACTTACAATAAAATATGTGAAAAACAAAGTGTGGTAGTCACTTTCCCATTGCTGACACCCACAATTTAGAGGGAGACAGTTTTATTTTGGTTCACAGTTTCAATGGGTTCAGTCCCTGGTGTGCTGGTTCCAAGTCAGAAATGGCATGGTGGGAAGGGTCTAGCAGAGGAAGCTGCTTACCTCATGGTATCCAGAAAGCAAAGGGTGAAGGGAAAAGCCAGGGACAAGAACGCACTTTCCCAGGTCACAACATAGTGACCTGCCTCTTCCAACCAGGCCACACCTCTGAACACACGAGACTTTGGGAGGACATTTTAGAGCTAAACTAAAGCACAAAGGTAACACGTATGCAAAGCTCACCCCCTCCTAATTGTGACACTACGTTTTTTAGCCCCTTTGTTCTTGAGATTTTTTATGGTATGCTAGTCCCCTGTCCCAAGATTTTGTTCTCTGCAGTTTCAGTTAACTGGAATGAGCATGGTCTGAAAATACAAAGTGAAAAATTCCAGAAATAAACAGTCCCCAAGTTTTAAATAATCTTTAATTTAATGAGTTGTTATAATTTTCCTATTTTGTTACTTATCAATGTTGTTAAAGTCTTACTGTGCCTAATTTATAAACTATACTTGATCATAGGTAAGTACATATGTATGGGAAAAACAGGGTTTGGAACTATTCTTGGCATTGGCATTACTGAGAGTCTTGGAGAGTATCTCTTGAAAATCATGGGAAACACAGAATTTCTATGGCAGAAGCATAACGCACATCTCTTGCCAACTCTATGTCCAGTATGTCACATTGATTGATAGCTTGGTTTTGGCCAGGATGGGCATATTTTACATTATAGAAATTGGCAAAAGTTAAAAATCAGGCCTTGATTTATTATTTGGATTATCTATACTTAGGAAAATAATGAAGATATCAGATTTAATAATACAGATTAAAGTGTGTCAAGTCTGAGGTCATTGTATTGTGCACAGCAGGAAATGGATAAGGTAATATTTTTCCAGGATTTCAAAACAAATATTGTACATGCGTGGGTCAGCAAAAAGAGTTGCTCACATGTTTGATAAATAAAATATGAATTAAAAAAAACTTTTTCACTATTTTGTCTGATTACTAGCATGAGTGAAAATATCAATCATGTGAGAACTGCCCTAATTTTTTACTGACAGAGATTGACAAAAACAAAACATTCTGGGAGAAACAGTTATGTGAAAATTACAATAAGCAGTGTGGTGCATCTTATTGTTAATACTAAAGAGTATGCTGCATATCTTTGATATCAGTAATATTCAGAAGGAACCTACATACATATAAATGCAGAGAGCCAAGTTCATAAAACATTTTCTACCCACAATCTGGCTCTGATTAAAAAAGCAAAACAAACATGAAATTGGCACTTTACCCACTGTGTTTGCCCTGATATGAGTGGAATGGCCCTTTTGGAATGTTTGCAGAAGGTTATTTTAGTGAGACAAAAACTAAGTACATGATAAAACAAAATAATTTTTAACTCAAGGAACAAAGAAAGATTGCATTAGACAGGAAATACAACCACATCTACTGAACAGATCATTTTTCAATTTTTAAATAATTGAAATAATCAAAATAATGAATATTGATTTAACCAAAATTTGATACACTGTTGATTGTAAAGAAAGATAAAAGATAAAAAAAAAAGATGCCAGTAATGAATGGCAACCAGCAATGAAACAACTTCTGTTGCCACGTCCTGTTTTCAGACATTTTAAACAAGTAAAAAAAATCTATGACTTGCAGTAGGTGTGACAGAGAAAGAAAACAAATGTGTAAGGAAATGGGATAAGAGAGCTAGGAGACCATTAAAGGACGTCTAAAAGCTTAAATTTTTATTTTAAGTTGCTTTTTTAAAAAATCGTAACAGAAGATTGATGCGTTCATTATAAGCTAGGTGGTACTCGGTATATTCATTAAATTAAAAATGTTGATAATACACTTTAAGTATCACTGTAACATAACCATCCCTGACCCTCACTCCTCCAGCTGCCTTCTGGGTGGCCCTGGAGCCTGATAAATCTAATAACTGCAGATCAGCTGACGATGTTTGAGCCCAGGGTCTCTTTGCTTTCACGGTCTATGTGTTAACTTGCACATTGGCTATGCCTTGCTTTGCAGAATTTTCACAATGGGGCAAGTCTGGCTCTTATTACTCCACATTTGCAGACAGGGGAGCTGAGGCTCTCGGTGGTTCCTGTGACTCACCAAGTCTCTCACTTGTGCCTGCTGAAGTGGGGGGTCGCGTCCCCTCTGGAGGGTGACTGAGAGCTGGGTGAGTCCACCCCCATCGGCAGGCTGCTGATCACCTAATGACATCATCTTCTGTTCTGTGTGAGCCTGGTAATCCTATCCACCCTGAGCTTTCCTGAGAAAAATAAATTAAAACAAGGCCCTCTGAGCAGCCCCCAATCTACTTAATTGTCCTCTTGCACTGTTTTTGTTCGACAAACAGTCCCTGGCTCTTAAGATTCTTCCCGCGTCTATCTGTCCTTCATGGTTATTGCTGGAATTTCTTTACAACTCCACTCAATGTAGAAAACATATTTTATATCTAATAGGTCTCATCTCGGTCTGCACTAACTGGTACTTCTTCCTTTCCAGGGGCGGGGGGCAGTGAGGCCGAGCTTTTCCCACACAGAGCCCCCACTACCTGTCTAGAGGATCCGGGAGGCATCCAAAACACAGCGAAGGCTCAGGTTTACAACCAGAGAGCTCAGCCCATCACATATTAGGGAGCAGACAGGCTAATCTCACAGATGCCCCACCGCACTCAGCTTGCGTCCCTAACACATCTCATCTGGTCCCATCAAAGATGGATCAAAGTCACCTGTAGCCACAGGCCCTGAAACTAACTCTGGATTTTGGCCAGACAAAGCCCACCTCCAAAAGTGTCTGCGGGAAGAATTACAGCCTCTATGTGCAGGGCTTTCAGGGTGGTGGTGGGGAGCGATGAGACAAGGTCTTGATATACAGTTTTTATCTATGCTAATGCAACGCGGATTTCTTTGAACCTATGTAGGGATTGTGGGGTGACTACATCCAGACCCTCCTGGGGCAGCCCTGTTCCAGGAACAACGCCCTCAAGCAAGTCAGGGTGGCCCATGTGCACCCACCTACATTTTAACACTTTCTGTACAGTCAGAGGGTTGACTCCTAGGACGGCCACTGTCTGCTCAGCCTCCCGTTGCAAGCCTGACCCTGCCTAGTGCTATTTCCACAGCTCCTTATAGTAACGACACAGGTCATGCTTACCAATTTGTGAATCTGAAGAAGAAACCGAGGGAAAAGTCTTTTTAGGGAACAATCACCATTAACAGGGTTACGCTGCTCTGGGAAATCGGACTCCCAGCAGTTTAGGTAAAAAGATGAGTAGCCAAGGGGTGGCAGACGTTGCCCTGAGAGAGGCTGAGAAATGGAGGGGCTTCCCTTCAGGACCTCACATGCACACCTAGAGTAGGGCTTGGGGCACTACAGATGCTCAGTAAATCTTAGCCAGTATTTTTGCTTACTTGGTTTACATTTAAATTTATTTTGTTTATGTGATTCATATTTAAATCTGGAGGCAGTAGTCTTGCTGTTTATTTAGAATACAGTTCTGAGTTTGGAGATGCATACAGGGCAGTGTTAACACCTCCACAATTAGGTCACAGAAGAGTTCCCTGACCCAGCCACATTCCTGTGTTGCCTCTGTAGAGTCCAACCCTACCCCACACGCCCTCGGAGTCCACTGCTCTGCTTTCCTCCCCCTAGTTTTGCCTTTTCCAGAATGTTGTGTAAATGTTCTCATTCATGCCACAGGTAGCCTTTGGGGACTGGTTTCTTTCATTTCACATGACATTTTTGAATTTCGTCCACGTCACGAAGTGTATCGACAGATCGCTCCTTTTCCTGCTGAGTAGAATTCCATGGTTTGAGTCACCCATCCAAAGACAATGGGGTTGTTTCAGTTTATAGCGATTAGAAATACTGAATCTACAAAGAGTCACCAACAGGTTTTCACGCCAACGTGTTTTTCAGTTCTGAACAGCAAATACCTAGATGAAGGCATATTGGTTCATATGGTAAGTATGTGATTAAATTTATTCAAGAAACCAACAGACTTTTGTTTTCTAGGGTGGTTGCACAATTTTGCTGTCCCATCAGCCTGTTCAAATGTTCCCACTGCCACCTTCTCCCTGACACCCCCTCGTCCTGCTCTCTGGCTGAGCAGCCTCCTCCTGGGAGCCTCACCCTGGGACCGCATCCGATGAGAGTGCTCAGTTAAGTACTATTTGTTTTATAAATTCAGATAGGCAGGAAAGGCATATCACTGCAGTCTTAATGTGCATTTCCCGAAGCGGCTAATGAGACTTGAGACTCTTTTTATGTGCCTGTGTGCTCCCCTGACACAGTGTTTGGTGAAAATGGCCCCTTGAATATTCTGCCCATTTAAAAAATTGAATTGTTGAGCCGGGCATGGTGGCTCATGCCTGTAATCCCAGCACTCGGGAGGCTGAGGCAGGAGGATCGTTGTGAGTTCTAGACCAGCCTGGGCTACAAAGTGAGCTCAAGGCCAGCCCAGACTGCACAGCGAGACCCTGTCTCAAAAAGACAAAAACAAAACAAAACAAAACAAAAAAACAAATTGAATTGTTTATTTTCTTATCATTGGGTTTTGAGAGTTCTGTGTCTATTCTGGACTTACGTCTTTGGTCTAATAACCTATTTCCCCCCAGACCACAGCTCATCCTTTAATTTCCTTAATAATGCTTTTCACACAACATGACTTTAATTTTGATGAAATCTAACTTAGGAAGTTTTTTTTAATAACAATAATATGCTTTTGATGCCAAATGCCTTAATTCAAGACCATAAAGATGTTCTTTTCCCCCTGAGAGTTTTATAGTTTATATAAATAACACATATGGTTTAATATATGTTTCGGTTAATTTTTTAATGAAATGAGCCTTGAATCTGAAATTTTTTTTTAGTTTTTTGCTTATGGGTGTCCAATTGTTCTGTTCATATAAATTCAATATGATTTTATACCAATTTTACTTTCTGAAAATCTGAATTTTTTTCCCTACAAATGAGAAGATATAGGTGAAAATCATCTGGCATATGATTCATAGGAAAGTAAATAAGTAAATACTGGTTTAAACACATGGATACACACACACACACTCATACACAGAAAGAAAAGGCAAAGCACAGGCAAAGGTGAAGCTCCGTCACCTGAGACTATCACGTGGAGTGACCCAGGTAAAGCTGACTTGGAGCTCCTGGAGTGGCAGCTGCTGGCTCCCAGGCCCAGCTGAAGCAGGACACCCCTGCCTCTGTAAACACCGGGACGGCGCTTGTCCAATCCAGTCCAGTAAGCAACCAGATGAGCACCCTGGTGAAATGAATTGACCTCAGCTGAAGTTGAATGCTGTTCCTTGACCATGTGGAGTGTCATTGGTGTGCTAGTGAGTGTGGACACGTGCACAGACAGGTTGTGCACCCCTCCTGGTCTTGGCCTGAGCAGCCCCCTCTTGGGAGCCACACTCTGTGAACAATTCCCCCCAGCAACTTTAGGACCGCAGAAACTTCCAACAAAGGAGCTCATTTACTTTCTGACATGGTTAATGTCCTGATCTAATGGCCCTCTTCTATCACACTCAGCACCTAAATTATAGGGCATCCCCGGCAATTACACTGCAGAATCTCAGACTGCACCTTTACCGTGAGCTGCTGCACCAGGTCATCCCGTGGCTGCCCACTCGGTGTGTGTGTAAGCAACCAGAGGAAGCTTTCCTGCCACTCTGAGTCTTAGCGCTCATTCAGGTCATGTGTGCAGCACCCTCTTACTCTAGATCGCTGTCCCCTGAGATTCTCAGCCATAGGAAATACTATTCTCAACATAAAACTGCACATGCAACTTACCGAAGAAGCATAGCCACTGTGATTTAAAAGAAAAAAGCTCCCATCTCCTATGTGTGCTCTGAAGTGTCTCTGCTGTGAAAGATCATTTTCCATAATGACCCTACAGAGAGAAGGAGTTATGGTCAGGATTTCATACACAGGAGCCCCCAAACTTGCTCCTAAGCACAGCCAGAACTTAGAGAACTGTCACAAGGCATATTAAGCACCTAACAAAAATTCTCTCATGAGTTTAAGTGAATTTTATATTCCTAGCACAAATTATAAGGCTAATCACAAGGTAAAAAGGTAATTCACAGATGCCCGGGGCCCAGATTCAGGATCTGTATCCAAGCAAACTGGTGACAACTTACTGATGGAAGCTTTGTGTCTTAGCTTTGCTCTGTTATTCTTCCGTAAATAATGATCTAGAGTAAGCTAAACAGTAGAAAACTGTTGTCTATAAATGAAATTTCAGTTTTAAAAACTAAGGTCACATTCTAAACTTAAATCCTACTTTATAAGTGTGGAATATAAAATGTTTTAATGAGACAAAATAGGGAAAGACAGGTACAGAAACTAGCAGTCATAGCCATCAAAGAATAGCTGATGAGCCTATAATTCTGTCAATTTGATTTGCAATAAGATGAGGGAGGGCAGGAGGGCATTAATAGTTCTGGCATCTGAATTTTCTGCTCCAAACATTGCCTGTCTCCATCATGAAGCCTCAAATTGTTTACCTGGCTTTCAAAAGAGGCTCTTGTCCACCTGCAAGAAAGGATTGGAGAAGTTGTGGGAAAGACTTCAGGAAAGAAGGACGACTCTCCACGTGTCACTGCCGCCATCACTGGTTGCACAGTGGGGCTTTTGTCACCCTCCGACCTTCCATGAATAGTCACTCCCTGAGCCTCAGTTTCCTCCTGGGTAAAATAGAGTAAAAGCTATTATTGCATAGAGTTGGAATAGTGACATCCCATGCATAACACACTTAGAAAGGGAGTTTTGGCATATGCAGTATGAAATCCAATACAGTTTAACTGATATTACTTGAAGCTGGTCAAATTGGGAAATGGTGCATTTCTTCGTGAGCTGGTGGCTGAGCTCATCCATGCCACCTCCCTTGCGCACACAGGCACACACATGCACATTTAGCATATAGAAATGAACCTAATTATAAGCTATTAAGCATTAGAACACCTTACTTCTTTCAGGCCCATGATTATGAAATAATAGCAATTACTATCAAATTATTATTATTATGACTGTGTCACTCTAAAGTCAAGCACTGATGGAGTTTATAAGGAATGTGAGTACATTGTCCTGAAATCCATGTACAGGCATCGTTTGCCCTGAAGAAAAGAAACTGTGAAACATAAAAAGATAATAAAAGGAGAAATGCAAAAAGAAAATTGAAGAGAAAGTTCTTTATTTACACTTTGAGCCAAGAGATGGAGGGGACCCAGGCTGCTCCTTCCACCCAGAAGCCAAAGGAAGGCCTTGCTCCCAGGGGCAACTTAATGGGAAACATCCCTCAGCCCTGTGAGCTTCAGCCTGTGGTAGCTGACAGTCTGTAATACAAAACACACCTGTCATTTTTTCCTTATATCTAAGTAAATAAATACGCAGGGGAAGGGGACGTTCACTGCAGCAATCAGATTTGGTGATGTGTCTTGAGAAAAAATGCACACCCAGGGGCTGGCGCATCAGACAGGGAGAGCTGTTGGCCAAGTGAAACGAGGGGGAAAGACCCCCTGCACAGGGACAGAGTGGAAAATGGTGATTGGCATGGGCAACGGGACCCTATAAATCCCTTGAGAATTGTATCATATTTTTTTTTGGTAGATTGAGTCATGGTGGAAAGATTTGGGGAAACAAGTCAAAATCCATTACCTAAGCAAGCATTCGGCTATAGTCACAGTTTTATAGATTGTGTGAGAATGTTCATAAAATGCACTTTAGGTTTTATATGCCATGTTTCTGAATGATTTGAGCAACACCTTACCTTGGAGACACTCAGTAGCACTGGGAGGAGTTTCAGACTGGGAAGCTCTTGGAGAGGTCACACAGAAAAGACAAACGATGGAGCTCTGAAGGCCGAGGTCGTGGGTGGAATCTCCTGTCCCGTGGTGGGAGTGATGTCCTCTTGGGGATCCAAGTGTATCTGCTCCAAGGTTGTTGACCAGATCCTCCATTAGCTAGACAATGGGATGACAAATGCTACCCGCCCTTTATCTCTCACCTCTCCTAGAGCTAAGCCTTCCTGCATTGTATCGACGGATCGTATGATTGCTAAGGGGAATTTTAAGAGCATCTGAGGTGAATGGTGAGATTAGAAGCGTTGACTTTCTAGGATATGACATTCACAGATTAGGGGCATATTTCATGATCATGCTTCCCTCTCTATGTGCTATATGTCTCTAGTAGTAAACACGTTTTCTCCTGGATTTTCATTGAGCATAAACTAATCTATGTGTCTAATCTCTTGAACTGATAGGAGTTAGTGCCTTTTATTCAATTGAAAGCCCCGTGCTATTCCCTCGTAAACCATGAAAGTGAAATTAATTAAGCCAGGCAATGGAATATGAGTTTCTCAAACTGTGGGGAGGCATGGCAGAAAAAAAAAGAGGGTTTTGCTCTATCTGTTTTTTATAGTCACAGTCAAATAAGAATATTTATCGACCAAAAAATTTTATTTATCAGTAATTTGTCATCTATTTTACAAATAAATGTAATGAATTTAGCAAATATTGCTCTTAAAAGCAACAAGTGATTGAAGAATTTGTAACTCATATAGGTTCAAATGAAATAGAAAGCAAAACTATAGAATAGTATGAAATAAAACATATATATATACACACTAGAAATTATGTGATACTGCTAAAACAATATCCCAGAGAAATCTCATAGCCTTATGTCATTAATAATGTGTGCATTGAACTAAAGAAACTAAGGAGAGAGTAACAAATAAATTTGAGGAAAATGTAGAGACAGGTAGTAAAGATAAAGGGGAAAAGGGCAGAGAAATGAAATAACTGTGAAATAATTCAAGATTGCTCCCTGTAGGAAAAGGGATAGGTTAAAAATTAAATGATTTTAATAATTACATAAATTATTAACCAAAATTAAGGGAAGGAGGCACAAAATGCAAAAAAGAAAGTAAACGTGGAAATGGAAATTCTCAGCTACCAGGAAAATTTTAAAGCTATACATTATTATCCTGTTTAATTCTATGAAAGCAAATGTGAACTACCTCATGATTCTATAAGAAGCTGTACATTACTAAACTAGAAACCAGGGCCAGGAATGCAGCTCAGCAGCACAGTGCCTGCCCGTCATGTGTGACGCCTTGAATTTGATTCCCAGGACAAAAAAAAAGATAAAATAAAATAGAAGCAAAATAACTTGCATGGTCAAGATTTTAAAGTAATCAAAAACTTACTTTCCAGAAACCCCTCAGCCCACCTGATTTGGTAGATGGATTCTGTAGATGAATCACACATTTTTGTAGATGAATCACTCATGAACATTGCCAAAAACAAGGCTAACTACTCCAACCATGGGTTTAAAAAGTTTGTATCAACGAATGGAGTTCAGTGCAACATGTGGGAATGTTCCAGCATAGGAAATCTGTTAGCATAGCACAGAGTAGGGCAAAGGAGGAAAGCAACAATGGTTTATTCATAGATTTACAAAAGGCATATTTTAACAAAACAGAAAAGCACTCACCAGTATTTTGTTTGTACCAATATGCACCAGCATTTTGTTAAATGACAAAATTTTGAAAGTATTACTATTGATATCAGGACTGTGATCACAATGCCTTAAATTTATAGTGTAAAACTGCTAGCCAGTATAATTGCTTAGACAGGTGAAAAAATTCATAAAAATTGAATTGTCATTACCTTCAAAAAGGACAATAGAATGCCTCAAATGCACACACATCTGCATGTGCACACACATGTGCAGGCACACCGACACGACACACACACACATTCACCCCACATGCCACACCCTACATCCAGGAAAATCAACTAAAAATGCTTATGAAAAACAGGGACTTTTAGTTAGATGACTGGTGACAAAATTATCCAGAATTCATTACAAATGAGTAATATGCAACAATAACTCATTGGAAAATATAATAGAAGAAAAGTATATAAAAAAGAGAAAGACTGTTTGGGACCATACTCATTATGAAATGTATGTTCTATGTAACCATACTCTATGAATAATAAAGATGTGAGAGAAAATTTAAAATGGGGAAATTATTGTTAAGCAGAAAAACTCAATTTTGTAAAAATGATAAATTTCCTTAATTTGTGAGCTTCATAACATACAAACTATGCATGCTAGTGTTGAATTTACACAGAAAAAAATAACATTTGATCATTTCCAGAAACACTGTGAAAAATCAAGAGCTGTGAGAGATCAGCCTCCCACCTTAAGATGTGTAAGTTGTTTAGTTTTCACGTATGAATAGACAAGATAATCAGTGGGCTCCTGGAGCACATATAGAAACAGGGTGTAACTTGGTGGCAGAATCACATGCCTGACACGCAGGAGGCACGGTCAGGCCCCAGCACAGGGAAAGCAAGAAAGAGAGAGATTTTGATATATGATCAAAATGACATTTGCAGCTAGCAGCGGGAAAGGTAAATTATTAAAAAATGAAATTTGGAAAGTTAGGAATCAATCTGGAAAAAAGTACATTCTTATCTTGCTCCATGTAACCAAAATCTTGTAGGTAGCTGAAATAGTTAAACACATACAAAAGGAGAAACTGCCAAAATATTAGAAGAAAATTTAGAAATATTTTTAAAATATCTTTGAATATATTTGGAAGGCCTTTCTAAACAAGATATGATATCCTGACACCCTGAGAGTTATGAACCTGATACTGATTATGAAAAAAACTTGTCACATGCAGAGTAAAAAAATAATTCACCATCTGGGGGAAAACAATTGTCAAAGGAGATAAAGACTTAATTTCTGTAATATGTAATTATCTGTTGAGATTCAGTAAGAAAAAATAACAGAAATAAGGCTATTTTATGTAAAAAAGAAATGTGAATGACTGCCCAACCTCAATCACAGTTAAATACATTTTGTTTACTTTAAAAGTGTAAAATATTGGTCTTTCAAACCGGCAGTGGTAAAGTTTAACTCTGCACACCACTCTGTTGAAGCTCTTACTCACGAGTCGTGTAGGATGTGGCTTGGGAGGTACATCTGGCACTGTCCACCCCTTGATTCAGTTGCCCTGATATCGAAGTCTTCAGGATCCTCACGGCGGTGTGCAAAGGCACAAAGAGAAGAAGCTTACTAGCAAAATATTTGTAACAGCAAAATGATGAAAACAACCAAGGTGCCTGTCAGTTTGGAGACTGCAAAGTGTATTATAATACATCCAGACAGCAGACTCTACCACTGATGAAAATGAAAGAGAAAATAACACACCTACTTTACAAGGGGGAGGGGGTGCAAAATACAATAAGATACTGTTTGGTGATGATTACATAAGAGTTAAATGATTTTTATGAAGCAAGAATATGCAGGAACCTGTACGCCTTTTGACATACTGGCTGTGAGCCAGTTTGGTGAGCTCAAGAGTTAAGATTTTAATGCTGTGCTTAGTTCTACATACTCTTATACTTTCTACCATGTCTATCAAGTCTGTAATGATAGCTGTTGTTAGGAATTTAGTGAAACAGAAATAGTAAGTTTTTCAATCACTCCAGGGCAACAACTTTAGTAAGTGATTATGGGCAGCTTGCTTTTGGGGGCAGAATCTTGAGTTGGTGCCTTCAAACTGTTTGTCTCTAGACAAGCCAGGTCTGAAAATCTATAAAAGGAGTTTAATAATTGTAGAGACCAAACTGTTAAAAGATTGAAACATATACATCCAAGCACCTATACGGTATCTTGTATGTGGTAAGACTCTAGGAACCATTGTTATAGTTACAGAATGATCTGCAAAATGCACAGCTCACTAATGAGAGCAGGAGGCAGAGGTGACGCATGGCCATTCCCTGTGGTATGGAAGGTGGGGTGGGGTGGGGAGGACCAGAGTCTATAAACT